AGCCAATGCAAGGCTTTGAAAACTGGACATTGGAGAACACAGGTGAGGATGGGAACTTGCAACCTATATTAACTTGGTCAAATGCCCTGCTAAAACAAAAATATCAACATTATCCACAGGATTTAATTAGACCAGAATCTCAACAGATATTCAAAATGTCCAGGATACAATCCAAAATTACAATAACATTCAAAGAATAGATTAAAAATCTCAATTTGCAATGAAAAAACAATCAACGGTACCAATGACAAGATGATACAGATGTTGAAATTATCTGACAAGACTTTAAAACAGATATTATAAAAATACTTGAGAAATCACACTCTTGAAACAAAATTAAAATAGAAAGTATGAGCACAAAAACAGATATAAAGAGGAATCACAATGGATATTTTAAACTGAAAAACACATCCCAAAATAAAATATACTCACTAGACACTCAATTGTAGAATAGAGAGGACAAAGCAAAGAATCAATACTCAAAGAAAAACAGGAATTATTCAATCTGAACAAAAGAATAAAAAAACATTATAACAATGAGCCTCAGGAACTTGTGGGACAACAAAGGTTTAAAAGTTGTATCACCAGAGTCCCAGAGAAAGAAGAAAATAATGTGGTGTAAAAAATATATTTGAAGTCAAGCATGGTGGCATGTTCCTGTAGTCCCAGCTACTCAGGAAGCTGAGGTGGAAGGATTGCTTAAGCCCAGGAATTCAAGTCCAGCCTGGGCAACAGGGCAAGACTCTGTCTCTAATTAAATAATTAATTAATTAAAATATTTGAAGAAATAATGGCTGAACAGTCTCCAAGTTTGTGAAAAGACGTAAACTTACAACTTCAAGAAGCTGAGTAAACTTAGAAGAAGTGGTAATAGGGAATTATTGTTTAATGAGTATAGAATTTCAGTGGGGAAGATAAAAAGTTCTGGAGGGCCGGTGCGCTGTGGCTCACGCCTGTAACCTAGCTCTTGAGGCCAAGCGGCGGATTGCTCAAGGTCAGGAGTTCAAAACCAGCCTGAGCAAGAGCGAGCCCCGTCTCTACTATAAATAGAAAGAAATTAATGGCAACTGATATATATATAAAAAAAATTAGCCGGGCATGGTGGCGCATGCCTGTAGTCCCAGCTACCCGGGAGCTGAGGCAGAAGGATCACTGGAGCCAGGAGTTTGAGGTGCTGTGAGCTAGGCTGACGCCACGGCACTCACTCTAGCCTGGGCAACAAAGCGAGACTCTGTCTCAAAAAAAAAAAAAAAAAAAAAAAAAAAAAAAAAAAGTTCTGTTGGAGACTGAGGTTGCTGTGAGCCAGGCTGACGCCACGGCACTCACTCTAGCCTGGGCAACAAAGTGAGACTCTGTCTCAAAAAAAAAAAAAATGATTCCCTTCAACTACAGGTAAGTGTTATTTACAGCTCAGGGAAACTACCATACAAACTGGGAAATTTAAACTTAGTCCTTGCAGTAAGTCAGGTGTGGTTGTCTATTCACTGAGAGGCCCACCTAGGACCCTGCTATCTCACAGACTCAACCTGTCTGTTGTGTGTTTTTTTTTTTTTCCTGAGACAGTCTCACTCTCTCACTCTGTTACCCTGAGTGCAGTGGCATCATTGTAGCTCACAGCAGCCTCCTGGGCTCAAGTGATTCTCTTGCCTCAGCCTCTCAAGTAGCTGGGACTACAGGCACACAGCACCACGCCCAACTAATTTTTCTATATTTAGTAGAGATAGGGTCTCACTCTTGCTCAGGCTAGTCTCAAACTCCTGAGCTCAAGCAATCCTCCCACCTCAGCCTCCCAGCATGCGAGGAGTGAGCCACTGTGCCTGGCCCCAACCTTTCTTGGGGAGGTATCATTTGTCTTAGGGACTCACAGTATGTAGTACAGCTTGAGTATCCACACTCTGAAAATCCAGAATCTGAAATGCTCCAAAATACAAAACTTTTTGAGCACTCACATCATGCCACAGTGGAAAATTCTACACCTGAACTCATGTGATGGGTCACAGTCAAAACTGTTTCATGCACAAAATTATTAAAAATATTGAATAAAATTAATTTCAGACTGTGTGTATAAGGTATATATGAAACATAAATTAATTTCATGTTTAATCTTGGGTCCCATACCCAAGATATCTCATTATGTATATGCAAATATTCTAATAAAAAAAAATTTTAAATCTGAAACACTTCTGGTCCCAAGAATTTCAGATAAGGGATTTGCAACCTGTGTAAGAATTGGTGATCTACACATCTGTCTCCATTGCTAGACTTTAAGCAACTTATGGTGAAGGACTGGGCCTTGTCATAGTTGTATGTCAGTGCCTACCATATAGTGGGGCTTTATGAGTATTTGTTGAATGAATAAATCTTTTGATTTATAGGAGCTAGTGCTGGGAGGATAGAATTAAGTCCTTACTCTTGAAGAGTTACCAATCTATACATCTTCCA